ATTATTTAAAGTTCCATACACTGTCCATTTCTGTAGTACACAATTGCTTTTTCTGATTGTGGGCCCAATTTTCAAATATGGACACCATCAGGTTTCAAAATTCACTATTTCCAGGCCCAAATCTGCCTGCTCCCAGTGTACAATAGCAAGGAGCATTGAGAAACACTGTAAATTTAAAATGAATGTGCCTTAATGCTCATTTTCAGCACGGGATGTGGAGGACTCAACACACTAGGTTCAAATCTTGCTAGGCCCTTTTGTGAAACTGTCTTCTCCTTCTGTGCAGATTGTATATAAGGAAATGGAGAAATCCCCAAGAGTTGAAACAGAGAGCCTTGCCTTCCCTCCAGCCAGAGCACAAGCCAGTGCTCTCTTCAGCACACAGAGTAAATGTAAGCAAACTAAAATGAACTACTTTAGAATATCTGTGGTGTAAAATATTTAAGCCTTGTAAAGCAACATTATATCACACTTTGCCTCTGAAGGCAGGGGCAAAACTTAGGTTGCTAAGGGGAAGCCCATTCAATTAAATGCAAGACCTCAAAGGATGTGTTTTCCTCAGCTAGAAAGGATGGTGGTTGCAGAACGGGGCTAAGGGTGAAGATCTTAACTTAAGGGCAATGAAGGGCTCCAGGAGAGGCATGGCAAACTTTGGGGGTGAGTGTGGGTAGACGTGATAGACAACCCCCACCCCTTCCTAATGTTGTTTTATTTGTGCAAAATGTGCCTCAGAACAGGGTGATTTTTGGCTGGTTTAAGTCTCTGCAACAGTGTTATTTCTTGTCTAGAATTGTATTAACTGCTGCAGATAATGCAGAGTAGATAGTCATCTTATTCTAGGAGGCTTCAATCAATGGGAATTTCCACACTTAAAAAAAAAATTCAGAAGATATGGCAACCTAAAGCCTCTCTAGCTGCCTGTATTGAGGATAGAAACCCTGCCTTTTTGTATGGTCAGGTGGAGAAACGGGTGGCTACATAAGGAAGGGTACATTACTTTTCTCTAACAAGTTCTGAACTTAAATTAGAATTATTAAAAAATTCAACACCTTTACTTTTTCAGACAACAGTCCCTGATCTCTTTAATACTACCGATATTTGAATCATTAACTAGTTCAACTTCATTATTCCCTTGCCTTACATGGGTGTTAATATGTGAGATGTTATAAAACATGAGTCAAAGTTAGGAGATCTTGATTGTATTCATAGCTTTGTCTCAGACTCTTGTGTACCTGTTTTTCCTTCTATAGAAAGGAGAAATACTATCTGACAGGTATGTTGAGACAAAGTTTGTAAAGATCTGCAGTATATTACTATTTTCCTATCATTACAGAGATAACTGTTTTAAGTTAGAAATATTACTGCCAAGTCCATATGGACTTGCTTATTAAAGTGCTTTTATTTCAAATTTCAGATGACATTTCCCAGGTACCAGTTTCTTTACAGTATATCAAACCGGTTGCTGATCGGGCAAATCCCAGAATAGGAATTGGAATGCTGGCATTTAGTCCAGATAACTGTTTCCTGGCAACGAAAAATGGTTAGTACCTAGTGGGCTATATTTTAAAGGAGAAACCCTTTTGGTATTATCTAGATTTTGTTGTTTCTGCTAGAAATAAACAATTACTTAATTGTGAACTATTTGTATTCTGGCTGCAGCTAGAGGCCCCAGTTGGGATTGAGGCTAGCACTGTACACAGAGGGACTTCAACCTTTAGCATAAACCACTAAGCTGTGGGACCAGCTATTATTTGCTGCATGAACTCATAGCCTTGGCTTTAAATACCATGTGCTAAATTATCTCCCTTCATATTTCCCTTAGCTCACTATCCTGTATACATAATCTTGGCCAAAATCCATCTCTTCTCCCCTCCCTGCACAAAAGTCATTTTCAGAATTTTTCAAAATATTAGTCATTAATTTTACATTAGCAAGAACTGTGGGAGGTCTGGACTTTATGTAACCTTTTCCCTTGTAGATCTGGAGCTCTGTATATCAGGATATAGCATTCTCTGGTGCTAAGGTGTTATCAAAGGAAAAAAAATCTTATGAAACTGGTGGAAGGGTGGGGTCTTAATCCAGTTCCTAGCTGAGAAATGTTCACATGATAAAACCCACCAATAATGGCATCTCTATGTAGTTTTAGAAAAGCCAGTGAAGGGAAATTCTATAGATTGAATTACTCTTTTTGTCGTAGTGGCAATTTCCCCAAGGAAGGCGCACTGCCAGAGTACTGCTGTCCTGTACTTAAGACTCCAAGCCCTCTGCACACATTCCGAGTGATGTCACCTTTCACCATTTCTTAAAGGGATAATGAGTTAAGTGTCTTGTAAGGTTATGAATCATCAGTGCTAGTTGCCCAGACTTTTCTGCACCAGTGCTGCAAGCAGTAATTTAGATAGGCTGTTGGTAGTGAAGCTCATTTAATGTGAGAGATTGCAAAGACATTGCATATAGTGTTGTGTTCCTTACACTCTTCTAACCATTTCCCTGGCCGTTTCTAACAGATAACATTCCTAATGCCATCTGGATCTGGGATGTTCAAAAGCTGAAACTGTTTGTAGTCTTGGAGCAGTTGTATGCTGTTCAGTTGTTCCAGTGGGATCCACGTCAACCTCGACTTGCCATATGCACTGGGAATAGCAAAGTGTACCTGTGGTCCCCAGCAGGGTGCGTGTCAGTCCAGGTACCAATGGAAGGTAAGGCCGCCTAAAACTACTGCTGCAAGTCAGAATCAGTAGTTTGTTTAATTAATATAAATAAATTATTGTACTGTTAATGATAAATAGCGATGTTTTGACTGCTTGAAGTGATCAAACATTTTGGGTACTTAGTCACATTCTCATAATCTCTTGAATGTAGGGAAGAATGGCACAAAGCTTACATCTAAGGTAATTCAGTTATTGCCCTAGCATGGTAATTTGACATGTAAATAGAAACATGTTAAGGTTTTGCTTTCATATCAATTAATTTTATATGGACGCTGTAGCTGTCTGATATGCCAAAATAAGAACTGTATAGTGCCTACTATATTTTTGGGTACTTTAAACATTAAAATTCCAAAAGCACCACAAAAAGTAACATGAAATCTGAATCTTAAATCTACTCCAAAAAGGTAGAGTTAAGGTTCCTGTCTATCCTTTCCTCTATTCCAATATGCAGGTACACAGTAAGATCTTTCAGTGGACTGTAATATTAGCTGGCTAATTGCTTTACAAATATCTTTTCTGCTTGCAAGTTCAGTATTATAGTAAATATAACCTTTTGCATGCTTCTTGGCTTAACATTTTCTTCCATGGAAGAACTACTACCTGCAGTGTCTGGTTGCAGATCTTTGCAACAGTGATAAATTTTGTGATATTTACTTGCATTAAAATAATATGGTTAAGCTCAACTACAATGCTATGTACAGTACAAAATTCTGTTCACTCAAGCCTCTTATCTCTTACTGATGAAACTACTAAGCTACTCCAACTAAGAAAAGATTTCTGGAACAGAATTATTTTAACTCTTGCTTTCTTGCTACTTATTTCTTTAATTTGTATCTGCAGGTGACTTCCAGGTCCTCTCGCTTTGCTGGCACTCTAGTGGGGACTCTATGGCACTTTTGACTAAGGATAATTTTTGCATGTGCTACTTGGAAAGAGAAGAGGTAAAATAAGAGTAGATAAAGGAACCCCTCCCTCTGCCCCTAAGGCTAGAAAAGCCTACTTTGCAAATAGATCTTTGTGGAAAAAGTGCTGCTATATCTATATGGAACAGATAAGAATGGGCAGGGCCTCATTGTTCAATAGGAAGAGATTTTGTACTAATAGCAAATCTTATGTTTGGGGGAGTGTAAGAAGACTCCCTTGGGTGAAGTACTGTGATAGTTACTTGAATGAAGTGTGTTCGACAAAGCAATTTAGAAAGAGCTCTTTGATTTTGCAACTAAAATTATGGAAACTAGCAGTCTGGATTTTATGAAGTTTAAGGGTTCAAAGAGTTAAACCTTATTTTGAACTTCTGTCAAAATATTTTCTAAAATGGTATGTTTGTAAATAGTGTATAGAAGTTATTTAATTTGTATAAATGTCAATAAACATTTTGATAGCTTCTGCTAGTGTGGCTACAATCTATCAACCTGGCACTATCCTAAAGTGTAGAATCCTCTACATTCATATTCTGAGCTGGAACTGAAGTTTGAAATGCACATGTACATATCACTGTTGCTGTTACCCTGATTCAAGTGGACAGTGACTAACTGCATACCATTGTACATCAGTCCTCATACCCCAAGGACACAGGGTTCAAGAAAGCTAGAAAATTGCCTTTTATTCTATTTTCATGGAGTAGTGTACAAATTCATAGATCAGTCTTTGCATTTAGGTCACTCAATACAGTCAGTGACCTATTCTATTAGAATTAAATATGGAATAAAATGCATATAGTTGTTAGACCCTGAATACTTGGAAGGAATCAGTAACTGCAGTTCTGACAAAGCAGTTATTTTATTATCATTTTAGCCATGAATAAGTGTTGAAGTCATCAAATGCAACTGTGTGAGAACCAGTTTTCTTTACCAACTAAAATGTTAAGCTGGTATATCAGCGCCTGAACAGTCTTCCTCTAAATTAGAGGATTGTGTAGAATAGCATTTGAAAAAAGGAGAGATGAGATTCTTACCCCATGACCGTCTCCTCCTCACTCACACCTGCTTTAGTTGTGGGAAGAGACCAGCATAGGGGAGAGGATTCACATAAGCTGTTTTAAAGAGACTTAATATGGAGTATCAAATTGGATGGAATGGAAGGTGTGTGTGTGTGTAATAATTCCATAACGATTGGGGAAGAAGAGGTAATCCATCTTGGTCAACACCAAATGCTTCAAAGGAAGGTACAATAGATGCCCCAATAAATTAATTACTACAGATTTTTTTTCTACTCTTTGAGTTTATGCTTGGTTTATATTCTTTCTTTTACAACATCTAGTGTTCTACCAACTAAAAACCAGAGAACAAAGATGGTTAAACTTATCTTTACTGCAAGATTAACAAATGCTAGACACTGGTGTCTTAGAAAAGAGCCCATATTGACAAGAACATGCAGCTGGTTGCATTCCAGAGACATTCAAAAAGAACATACATACAGTTTATTTCAAGTTAAAAGGTAAAAAATATTTTAACATACCACTTCCACTGCTGCACAGCATATCACTAACATGTTGAGGGGCAGAGAAATGCTTCTGCTAAAGTTATATATTAAGATGGGCTGTGTAAAGGATTCATCTACAGTGAAACTTGTCACAGTAATCTCATGCTGTAGTTCTGTTCAGTATCTTTGTATACTGCTGCATTTAAAGTTAGCTGTACTACTGAATTTACTTTCTACAAACTTAAGTGGAAGATTACATAAGACTGAACACAATACTATGACTAAAGCTTCCCCTCTCTCCAACAACTACATGGCCACATAGGTTACAAAAACCTTACATTGGTGCTATTCTAATCTGGTCTATGTATTACTAAATGAAAACACAACACAAAATACACTTTTGCTAAGGAAATATAAAGCTACTCAAAGTAGAATTCCCTTTAATTATAAAACTACCATTCCCATGTTGCATTAAAAGTAACTTCATAGGAAGGCAAAGATATCCTTTAATTGTCTGAAATTTTTGGCTATTCTATTTTAAGATATTTCTTTAATAGATGGCTGCAAAGAGAAGCCTTAAATAAGGTAAACCTGCAAATTATACAGATTCAGGTTTGATAGCTATTTAAAAGAGACCAGTAACATTACTCAAACACTTCAACTTACAAAGTAATTGTTCAATTCCACTGGTTAGGAGAAGGCATAACACTCTAGTTTTGACCGAATTAGCTGACTTTGCTAAAGAATGACAGTTCTTTAAAAATTCATAACACTGAATTAAATTCCTGAGATTACCGTAGTCTAGACATTAGTACCTTCTTAGCCAATATAAAATCAGTCTCAACTGCACATGAAATAATTTCATTGCAATTGAATCCTTATGTAAATATAGCTATAAGGCATGAACATGCACCGTATCTACAGTGGATATTGATATAGAATATTTGTCACAGATAAGTCACACTTAGTAAGGAAAGACCTTTAGCTAGAAATGTAAGAGGAAATATCATTGCTCACTAGACTTGCATACAAATAGTGACAGTGTAAGTTAAATCCAGGTACTCTAAGAAAGCAACTACCCTGTGACCACCTGAACTCAATACCTGACTTAGCCATCTATGAGCTTCATAACAGTAATGACTGTTCTGTGGAAGTCATTCATTCTGCAACTAACAAATCCCTTTTATCTGACATTTTATTCATTTTTGTTCTTTTCTGCCATGTACTGAGTTCTCCCAACTCTTTCCCCATGATACTAATCTCAAATCACTTTCCCTTTAAGTGGATTGATTACAATTAATTTAAAATCCAATTTTGCCTCTTGTCATCGAGTAGCCAAGCTTGGCCTCATTGTTGATGAAAGACATCAATCCCACGTAAGTTTCAATAAGAAGAGGACGCTCCAGCACTAGTACTCCATTGGCCCTCCCTGGCAACGGACACTCTTTATGGGCCTTCTTCACAGCTTGGATTAATTGAGTCTTAAAGTTTTCCAACTAAGGGGGGAAAAAAACATTTTAAATAGACCTGCTCTACTTTTGACAATCAACTTAATGTTTTCCCATTATTTGAAAAGCTGTTGCTAGTTTGCTTACAAAGGCAAAATTATACATAAGAGCTACTGCTGCTGAAATAGAAGATTACAGACATGTATATAAAGTTATAATTGTTATACATAAGACTACATACACCTATAATAAATTCCACATGCTAGCATTTACTGATGCAAGTACACCTCTACCCCTATATAACGCTGTCCTCAGGAGCCAAAACCGCATTATATCGAACTTGCTTTGATCCGCCGGAGTGCGCGGCCCCGTCCTCCCGGAGCACTGCTTTACCGCATTATATCCGAATGTGTTATATCAAGTCGCGTTATATCGGGGTAGAGGTGCAGTTTCAAATGAGAACATGCTTTCCTAAATGAGATGTTTGCATAAAGATCAGCTATAACAGTAATTTTTATAATATTAAATGCTTAGCTCTACAATTGTGTCCACAGCCGATTGTCTTAGGGTAAATAAACTTTCACCTGAAGGGCTCTTAAAAAAAAAAAAAAAGCCACTGAAATACGTGTGTGCATAGGAGGGGTATATATTTTGTAACTACACATAATTTATTAGGATTCTTCTAGAATTGCAAAGTACAAATACTCTAGGTAAAGCCTAGACCTCTTCCCAGGAAAGAAGGTTGATAAAACTACCTGTTTAAGGAAATGTTTTCCTCTTTCAGCTTCAGGTTTTTTTGAAATTTGGAAATCATTGCAACCTCTTTCACTATATGAACATGATTTGAAGAGTCAACAAGACTTGCCTGACTTCTAGCAACAGGCAAGCAGCACAACCCTGCTGAAATAGATGGAGAGCATAGAAAAAGCTTGGCCAGTCTCCTTACATTTATTCTCTGCTTCCATCAAAGTCATTTTCAAAAAAGGTAAAATTCTTAAGAACTGAATCCAGCTTAAATCATCGATGTGATTTATACCTAATACAGTATGGAAATCTATTAGATATAAATCTGTATATCTAACATTATAGAAAACTTCCTTACTTGGCAAAGGGATGCAATCTTCTCATCAGCATTTGCCATTGGATGTTCCGTAAAAGTAGCATAGGGCACATTTGTGGACCATGGATTCCATCGGTTTATGAAGGATGCACGGCTTTGCTTATCCCATTGAATTCGAATACCAATGCCTTCTCGCCTACCAAATTTGAAGACACCACATATTTGATAAGGTAGGCCTTGAAGCTCTTTACAGAGCAGATTAATTTGCTTTTTTGGAAACATTTCTGAACACCTTAATGAAAACTAAAGTCCATTTTAGAATTTTAACGTTTGTTTCTTAGATAGTAATAAGTAGTCTCTCTCAAAAATATCAGCATAGTTTACAATAAACACCTTGAAAATCAGTTATTTATACCAGCTCCCAAATTAAGTAAAGATTGTTTAAATGACAAGTTTGTATGAAAGATTAAGTTTATTAAAATTAAACATAAGAGTCTTCCACATTTATATTCATGCAGCCGAATACATCCTAGTATATGGTCTAGGGTGAGACTAATACTCAACATAATCAGATTTACTTACAAGTTTCTAATATAAATGCTAACACTGAACAAGTAAAATAAAATTACTGGACTGCTTACAAAGACATTCCCCAAAATAAAGTATAGTCCATGTTAGGAAAAAATATTTCAGGAGTAAACTGTTTTCAGTATAAATGGTAACTGTTTTAAAAATTTTGCTTCCCTGCTGATCAACCATTCTTTAATTACAGCAAAATCAAAAACCTTTACTAATACAAATAAATGGAAAGGCTATCAAACTTGATATGGCTAATGATAGACTAATAGCCTTAACATTAGCAGTATCATTAGACACTAAAAAATAAAAATCAAAACTTACTTATTCAGTGATTTAGGTGGGAACTCAAATTCTCCAACAGAAATGGTGTCAATTGCACTGAGTGATATTCTAGTAACCTGCTGGCACTGCAAGCTGATGAAGTCATATTTACAGATCAGAAGGGACCAGTCAGTGATAAGAACCAGACGCTCCTTCTCATTGTTCCAGTGGTCAACTCTGGTAAGACAAACAGTAAACACTGGTAATCTTCTACCCTTCTTGTAGTAGTTTGACTAAAACAGGGGTAGGCAACCTATGGCTCGTGTGCCGAAGGAGGCACATGAGCTGATTTTCAGTGGCACTCACGCTGCCCGGATCTTGGCCACCAGTCCGGGGAGCTCTGCATTTTAATTTAATTTTTAAATGAAGCTTCTTAAACATTTTAAAAACCTTATTTACTTTACATGCAATAGTTTAGTTATATATTATAGACTTGTAGAAAGAGACCTTCTAAAAACACTAAAATGTATTCCTGGCATGCGAAACCTTAAATTAGAGTGAATAAATGAAGACTCAGCACACCACTTCTGAAAGGTTGCCGACCCCTGGACTAAAACATGTAGTAGTTTGACTAATACAGTAGCAACTGAGAATTATTTAAGCAACAGCAGTATTGTTCTGTAGAAAATTAAAATAATGGTGATGCTGTATTTCCCATTCATTCCTATTTTTATATAGGATTGACCATCTGAAAGCATGTTTCAAATACACAGAATATAGGAAACTACCAACAGTTTTAAAGATTATATATTCATCTGAAGCTTTTTCCTTAATCAGTTTGTAATGTTTTAATGCTTACACAAATCAAGAAGTAGCACAAATCTACACCTTTACAAAGAAGGCCAACAAATTCTAATGCAGCTTACTGTTTTGCTGGAAATACCAGTGACCGTAGGCCATGTTTCTATATGCATAGGGGAAACAATTGCCTCCAGTACATCAGTGCCTCTCCATTTCTGGCTCTTTAGTACTTAACTATTGTAGCAGTCTCAAGTAGACTATGGCTAGGTCTATACTACCCGCCTGAATCGGCGGGTAGAAATCGACCAGCGGAGGTGGTAGTAAGCGCCGCCGACAAAAAGCCGCAGAATTCGATTTTGCCGCCGTCCTCACAACGGGGTAAGTCTGCTGCGATACGTCGAATTCAGCTACGCTATTCACGTAGCTGAATTTGCGTATCTTAAATCGACTCCCCTCTGTAGTGTAGATGTACCCTATGGCTTTCACCCTTAATCGCCACTGAGGGGGCACTGACTCTTTAGAGGATTCAAAACAGTGCATTAAAATGCAGCTTTAATAGATGGTAGAGTTCGTGTTATTTTCAGAGAAAACAAAATTTTGTATGATGCTTTAAAAAGAGGCACTGTTAAAGTAAAGCTGACTAGACCAAAACTGCTCCCCTTTAAAAAAAAATTTAAATAAAAAAATTAAAAGAAACAGACCTAATTCATAGGCTGAGTAGCCAACCAAAGCATGCCTGAACTGCAGCTACTTACATCTTACCTTCTGCCAGTTCAGATCTTACTAGCAGTCACAGGATTGAAATTGACAACTTTCCTTGCTCTGTGAAGTGCCTGGAGCTGAGCACAGAGCTATGTTTTGGTCCCTCCCAACAGAGTTTAGGAGCAATATGGGATATTAAAATATAGGCTGCAATAATTTGTTTAATAGGATATGGGGCTAATTTTGGAGTCTTACCAAGATTGAGAGTCCCTTTCATTCAAACAATTAATGGCTTGGGCTTTTGATAAAGCCAAGTCTATTATATATTCTATTCCAGTACTAAGACACAAGGTGGGTGAGCTAATATCTTTTATTGGGTACAACTATACTGCATTCCAGAACTAAGACATTTACCAGGTTTAAACTGATCAAAAAAAGCAAGCGGATAAATGAAGCAATTGTATTTATAAATAAATCAGATGGTGGACTAACTGAGGAGAGTTCTGGATATACTGGCGAACATGGGATTTTAAGTGATTTGTAAAAGCATTTTACAAACAGTCAATACATCAATATATAAAACATGCAGTAAAAAGAACTTGGTTTTAAGAAAAATGTTGCTGGATCAACTGTATACTAAAGACATGATTTTGTCAGATTTCACAAGAAAGCTTTACTCCAATTACTTGTGAGGTTTCACACAGCTAGCAAGAGCATTTTTAATAAGTGTGCAGATCCAGGAGAAAAATCTTATCCTGAAAAGCTGAGAAAAGTTCCCTTTGTCTATTAGTACTGTTACTTACTCAGTTAGCAACCACACACTTTGTACCTCTCCATCTTCAGTGGGCATCACAACAACACGAATCTCATTTACTGCCTGCTCTATAGTTCCAGGCTAAATCAAAGAGAGAATCAGGTTTTATATTTCTCTATTTACATATTAATGTTTGAAACTGCTTGACAGAGTCATTTTACTCTATAGCTCCTATCTACCAGGACCAGCATTACAGATCTGAGAGGCAAAGCCCCAACAGATTATTGTAATCATCTAGTGGGGGTCAGGTGGGTGCTCCCTATTGTCTCCGCCTGGCCTCTCTGTATCTCAAGCAATAGGACCTCCACCACTGCCTTTAAAGGATTATTTGATATTCTAACTGGCCTCTCACTAACCAGTCTGGGATGACCACTTTTTGCCCCTGTCAACAGAACAAATGCTACATTTACCTTTCTTTTTGTGGTCTGGGTTCCCAAACCCTGTTCTCAGAGATTGGGCTAAACTCTGGCAGGGGGCTCTGGGAATTAGGAAGATGAGAAAGTAACTACTTTCTCTAATTCCTTAAGAGCCCAGTGCATGATTTGCACCCTCTGGAGAAAGCTATGGCATGAAAGCAGATCACTGCAGTCACTCTTGGGAACAAGGGCTCCGATTGCTGGAGTGGGATGGAGAAGAAATAGACGAGCATAATTTACAGCACGAGGAACCGTGGAGGAGAAAAGGAGCCCAGGTACTGAAACGTTCCGGGCCCTTCCCCCGGCCTCTCCGCAGAGGCGAACAGCAGGGGCCGGGGGCTGGTTGTTCTCAGTGAAACCGAACGGGGTGTTCTAAACAAACATCACTGAGTGCAGTAAACTCCTCCCCGGCTGCGTCTGTCCCCAGAGGCGGCGGCGGCCGGCCCCGGGGGAGGCGCTCAAAGCCCAGAGGCGGCGGCGGGGGCCGGCCCCGGGGGAGACGCACAAAGCCCAGAGGCGGCGGCGGGGGCCGGCCCCGGGGGAGGCGCACAAAGCCCAGAGGCGGCGGCGGGGGCCGGCCCCGGGGGAGGCGCTCAAAGCCCAGAGGCGGCGGCCGGCCCCGGGGGAGGCGCTCAAAGCCCAGAGGCGGCGGCGGGGGCCGGCCCCGGGGGAGGCGCTCAAAGCCCAGCGCTGCTGGGCCGACAAGCGAGCGGGCTCCTCGTTTTGCCCCCGCTCCCCCAACCCCTCGAAGGCCTCAGCCGGGGCAGGGCGCCCGGCTCTAGGCCCGGGCCCGGCTGCCCCCGGCCCGCACCCGGAACACGAAGTACTCCTTGAGGCGGCCGCCCCGGGTCGGGTTGCGGACGCTGAGGGGCCGCAGGGTCTGGCGGGGCGGCAGCGAGTCCCCGGGCGGGCTGAAGGGCACGTCGGCTTCGGCCGGCACCAGCAGCGCCGCCGCCCCGGCGGGGCCCCCGTCCGGGTCCCCCTCCACCGCGTCCCGCAGCTGCAGCATCGCCCGCGGGCTCCGGCTGCCCGAGTGCCACAGCCCGGCGCCGCCTTCCGCCCCGCCGGCAGCCCGCTTCCGCCCCGCCCGCAGGCCGCTTCCGCTTCCGGCGCCGCGCTGGGGAGCGCAGAAAGGGGGGGTTGGGGGCTCAGTACTACCTGCCTCAGTAGTGTAGTCAATGGAGCTGGGTGGAGAATGTCCAGCTCCATGAAATCTCAATTGAAAATGGGAAAGAATTTTCCCAGGCATGTTTCCCTGTCTAGCCAACAACAGTGTTCTGCCAGTGCCGCCTCCATGTCATAGACTTGTGTTTCTGGTGTCAGTAATTTACAATGGAGACCGTCCCAGAGTGGGGTCTGGGGAGTTCAGTAATTGCCCCGCCTTCTTTAATACACCTGTGTAGCCCAACCGACTCGGCAGTATGAAATGGGCTGGCTCAGATCAGGGTGATTTTGACCGGTTCCATTTAATGTACTTGAATTTGGTCTTTGGGCTCTTAACAAGTTGCCAATGAGTCTCTTGTCTGCACAGAATGTGGGCACCCAAAGTATGGGAATAAAAGGTATCCCAAATGTCTGTGGATGTAAAGGGGTTTGGGTCTCAAATCTAGGATTTGTCCCTTTTCTCTGTCTCCTCATAATGGGGTCTATCAGTCAGTGCTGTGGGTTAGGCTGGGAGAGGAGGTATTGTAACCTGTTTGGAAAACAAACAACTGTTGAGAAAACATTAAGTGTCATAAAAGCAATAAACAAACTCTACATGTAGGGACTGGAAAAGCATATCGGGAAAACTGCTTTTGACTCAGTGCCAGGCACATGATATATTTTTTAAAGCAATAGCTGGGTCAATTTTTACTGGCACATTTCCCAGTGTTCTTATCTATTTTCACATAACGCACAGTCAACCTGTGGAACTCCTTGCCAGAGGATGTTGTGAAGACCAAGACGATAACAGGATTCAAAAAAGAACTAGATAAGTTCATGGAGGATTTGTCCATCAATAGCTATTAGCCAGGATGGGCAGGGATGGTCGCCCAGAATGGGTGACAGGGGATGGATCACTTGATGATTACCTGTTTTGTTTATTCTCTCTGGAGCACCTGGCATTGGCCACTGTCAGAAGACAGGATACTGGGCTAGATGGACCTTTGGTCTGACCCAGTATGGCCGTTCTTATGTTCCTGGTATAATAAAAAGTGTTGTTTAAAACACAAAGCTAAGAAAGATTTAGGCTGACGTGATCAAATTCCTGGGGCATATTTGCAGGGTGTGATTACAGAATATTGCTGACATCTAGAGACCAAGGCCCAGATCCTAGGTATTTTGGCTCCTGACTTCTAAATATTTTTGGGAATCTGGGCCCAGGTCTAAAATTTACAGCCCGTAGCTATGTATGAATCATACTGGCATATACAGTACAATGCAATTTTATATTATGTTGGATCATTTATGTAGATTTTTGGGTAACATTTTCTTAAGTGCTTAAGGCACTCTGACTTAGGCTCCTGAGCATCTGTCTCTTGAAAATGGGACATAGGCTTCCAGATCACATAGGTGCTTTTGAAAAATTTACACTTCATCTCAAAACACATTATTGAGTTGAATAAAATATAATAATAGAGGGAGAAGGAGAAATGAAAAGTCTAAAGGAGGGGAGTAAATAATGTTTTCAGATGAGATTTGAAGCGTTGGAAAGCTGATGAGTCAGATCCATGAAGGTGGTTCCACATGGCAGGAGCTGCAGGGGAGAAAGTCGTGGAGACAGAATTTAGAGGGATCAGGATTGAGACAAACTGACACTAGTATCAGGTTATTATGGGGGAGAAATTGCCCATCTTGTTTTTTTTCCAGCCTGTATAATTTTTAATAATGGCTCTCTGGAGCCCCCTGAAAGCACTAAATTCACTCAGAATTGTTTTTGAAATAAAATAAGAATAGGCTTTTCCTTTAAATTTGTTTTAATAAACATTTATAAAGATACAAAAAATTCTCATCCTGTTTGAACATATGGGACCAGTTTTTCCAAGCTTTGTTAAAGTTGATCACATTTCTATCAGCAGATGGCGGTATAAATCATCACAACCATCCTGGAAATGCTGGATTCCTTGGCCAGGCCAAACCAACCCCTGCTTTTCTGTAAGTAACACTGTGAGATTACACTACTTACTGTGCTCCAGTGCTTATTTATTTTATCAATCTTGTTAATAAGCAATCAGATATGTATCAGTTAATAAGCAGATATAAGTTAAGTCATACAATATATGTTGAGTCAAAACTGGAGGGAAAAGCATAACAAACTGAGCAATTATCAAATGACCATAAGTATAAATATTCCAGGAGACAAGAACATGGGAATAATGCTTACCGTTTATATAGCATGCTTCATCTATACATCTTAAAGAGATTTACAAAGGTGGGTAAGTCTCACTGTTCTCATTTTACCAACGAGTAAACGCAGACAGAATAAGTGATTTGCCCAAGGTCACATAATGAGTCACTAGTAGAGTTTAAAGTCTAGCATGCTGTACACTGTACCATATTTCCTCTGTTTGATAGTCAAGATTAAATAGCTGGGTATCAAAGCAAGTAGATTTTTTTTTCAGTTCCCTTTTTGCAGATTCTATATATACTGTTTATCACCCCATATTGTAACTCTGTTACCACTTTCCAGAGTTACTATACTTGGTGCCAGAAGAGGCTATTTTTAGCAGACAATTGTGCTAGAAGACAGTAAAAACTGAAAACATATTCAAGAGACTTGACATACAATGTATTGGATTTCAGACATTCATCTTTCACACGTGTTTCCTAGGTTAAGTCCATTCTTGAAATCCTTACTCAACTCTTTATTTATGGAAGTACCCCGACAGTCTTCGCTATGTAGTCATAGGCTACTAACGTAAGGTTTGTAGAATTGGCTTCATGTTCAATAACATTAACTGCCCAAACCTTGGGTGTTTAAACCAGGGCTTTCTCCATCGTAGTGTCACCTTCTCTTCTCAGACAACCCTACAGGGTAGCCACACTGTGTGATAACCTTAACCATCAACCTATGTACACTACCTGGCATCTACGAAAATCAGTCTAGAGGCTATTCAGACTGCACCAGTTACTTGATGTCTGAGTTGGGAAGATAAACTTGCAGCTAGAATAATTTCTCTTTTGGTTCTTCCTCTCCTCTCCTCTGCCCTTGTGTCTGTCCACTGGGGGCCACTGTTCCTTTTTCATGTTTGGTGGAAATAACTGACTCCCTAAAGAAATGACTCCATTCTTATAAGCTGCATGTACCTTCCAAATACACAAGAGGGAGCTACCCACTAAAAAGTATATAGTCCACAAACAGAACTTTGTCTCCATATTTTTATATTGGGTTAGAGGGTAAATTGGTTTTGAGCGTTGCAATTGCTGTCTCTCTTCATTTTTCACAACCCTAGGAGTAAAACATTTCTTGTACCTCATGTTCTCCAAAGCTTTGAATGTCTTTCCTTAGTCAAAAGGACAATGCAATTCTTTCCAGGCTCATGAAGGGATGGGACCCATGGCAAAGCGGAGGGAGTAAAGTTCAGACTTCATTAGGTTGTGGAATATCCAGCCAATGTTTTTTGTTAACCATTGAAGTGTGATTCAACTCCAAAAAAGTGACTTTGTAAAAATGGCGCTTGCACAGAGTGGCTGGCCTCTTTAAGGGCTTATGGGTCCAGCCCCACCTGTAACTGATCAGTTGCCTTCCAGTTGAGGTTGTGGGGTAGGTGTCATGTGATAGCTTGAAGAGTACCATGCTCCGAGTTATAAAGTCAGTGTGATTTATGCTCCTAAGCACCTAAATCCCTTTTGAAAATGAGATTTAGGCTCTTAAATCAGTTAAGCATTGCAGTGCTGAGCACAGCAATGTCTAAATACCTTTAAAAACCAGGGCCCTAGTCTGTATAAGGGCTAGCAAGGGATCAGTTGAGCTAGAGAACCATAGGTGAAAGAACTCAGCTATTAAGTGACTCGCAGGTAGAAGGCCTGAAGAGTGAGAACTGGAGTCCCTATGACAGGGCAAGGTCCTAGAAGGACTGAAAGGGGTGTGGGAAAAGCCTTTAGGAACTATAGCCCATGTTGGACAGGGGAAACTACTTTATTTTGGTGTTTTTGTTTATGTTTTCTCTTTAACCAATAAATTGTGCCCTGAGGCAAGGGCCTGAAAAGAGACTCGGAAGTGGCATTGATCCTTCCTGAGCTAGTGAGTTAACCAAGTAGTGTGCAGGCACCTTCTGCTCCTCAGATCTGTCTTGTTTGTATTCAGAATCAGAGCTGCTCTCTTCCGTGACTAAAATAAGGCTTCATTGCTTTCAACTCCCTTTAAACCTGCAGAACAGCACAGGTGAGAGTGAGCTGAAGTCTGTTTTTTGTGCATCATCACCAGAATTGTTTACTAAGCACCAGTTGCAGGACTGTGATGCCCTAACCAGGTGCAGTTTCATAATGGTCTAATTTGTGCTCATTCACTCATAGGCCCTGATTCTGCAAACAGTTGGACTATCCATGGTAATAAAATTAAACACCTTTAAATGGGACCTTAGTAAAGACAGTTTGGCAGCAAAGGTTTAACTGAGCACAGGCTATGTCAGCATTGATAGAAAATCAGAAGACAGAAAATATATATATAAATCCATTTTATGTCCACACCTTGAATACTGTGTGCAGTTCTGGTCACCCCATTTCAGAAAAGATATATTAGAATTGGAAAAAGTACAGCGAAGGACAACAACAATGATTAGGGGTATGGAACAGCTTCCATAGGAGGAGAGATTAAAAAGACTGGGAATGTTCAACTTAGAAAAGAGATGACTAAGTGGGGATATGATAGATGACTATAAAATCATGAGTGGTTTGGAGAAAGTGAGTAAGGAAGTGTTATTTACCCTTTCACATAACAAGAACTAGGGAACACCTAATGAAATTAATTGGCAGCAGGTTTAAAACAAACATAAGGGAGTACTTCTTCACACAACGCACAGTCACCCTGAGGAACTCATTGCCAGGGGATGTTGTGAAGGCCAAAAGTATAATTGGGTTAAAAAATAATTAGATAAATTAATGGAGAATAGGCCCATCATTGGCTATTAGCCAAGATGATCAGGGATGCAACCCCATGCTCTGTGTATCCCTAAGCCTCTGACTGCCAGAATCTGGGACTGGATGACAGGGGATGGATCACTTGCTAATTGGCATGTTCTGTTTATTCCCTTTCAAGCATTTGCCACCAGCAACTGTCAGAAGGCAGGATACTTTTTAAGAGCAGGGTAGACAAACACCGGTCAGGGATGGTCCAGATAATACTTAGTCCTGCCATGAGTGCAGGGGACTGGACTAGATGACCTCTCGAGGTCCCTTCCAGTTCTATGATTCTATACCTGGCCAGATGGACCATTGGCCTGACCCAGTTTGGCCAATCTTATGTTCTTATTGGTGATGCAGAGGTGTAACTCAGGGAAGATTTTTCATGAAGAATCTATTATACTGGTGATGCATGAGCCAGAAGGGACTGATATGAATTTCAGATCCCAGGTTGAGGTTATTGGCTTTGAGATTTGGAACATCTTTCTTCTTGTAAATTGAGCAAATTTGATCTGGAGTCCTTGTAAGACCAATGCAGAATTCCACAGTGCCATTTTAACAAAGTTATTTTTCAGATTTGAACAACACTTCAGAAATTAAATATGAAGATAATTTACAAAAGATAGTAGAATTTACCTGCTGCTTACAAGAAGCAATTTTAGGATCTAAATAGTTTTACAATTTTCCTTTATTTCAAGAAATCAATGTAATTTCACTCAAGGCTTCAGGGTGCTGAGAAGAAAACGAGTGCTTGAATTTCCTTATTGCTCTGACTTACACTCTGAAGTTTTAACAATAGAATTTTTACATAGCCATGACCCTTTTTTAAAACAGAAAATATCAACGTCCCAGCTGCTGGGCCAGACAGCTTCTTAGTTCCTAAGGGAGAATGTTACACACATAGCTGTAAAGGTGGTACATGGGACACTTATGAAAGGGTTCATGTGTAAAGCCAGCCATTTGCAGAAGTTGTTCCTTTTCTATCTTCTTCAACTGGATACATTTAGCTGTTAACAAAAGCAATTGTTATTTTTCTAACTTGCCCCTAGACTATTGATATGTTTCTCCAAATTCAGCAACATGTGCAGTGCCACATGTCATCACCTTGCTCTTCCTGAGGCAGGAGCCCTGCATATTTTTATTTTCTAAGTGCCACTGCAAGCTTTATGCCTAGAAGAGCAGTAATAACAAGACCACGTATACAACAAATGCAAGTTGCATTCCTCAAAGACATAATTAGGGCGAGGAGCATTTCCCATGGGCCCCCATTTTCTTACCATAGCTGTACACTGGAATTCACACACCATGCACTAGAGAGTTTGAGTGTCAGGGTCATTCAGAAGCTTCTGCCCACTTGCTCACAAAAAGATTCTCTCTATCTTTACTGAAAGAGCTGGGTAACCCGTTGTTTCTCTGGAGAAGTATAGGTGGGTGGTGGGCAGTGTCTAGTGAAGCTGGTTTTGGTGTGAGTTCAATCCAGCAAATATAAACTCATCTCACATCACATTTCCATAAACTCTTTGGGGCAGGGACTGTCTCTTACAGTGTGTTCAGCACCTGGCCTAGTGGAGTTCCAGTCTTCCTCTGGGTGCATTAATTCTGAAGTCTGGTTTCTTTCACCTAGTCACGCAGGGCCAGTGCAACCCATTAGGCGGTCGCCTAGGGCGCTAGCATTTGGGAGGGCAGCATTTCGAGTCCTTTGGCGGCGACCGCGGTGGCCGGATCTTCGGCCGCCCTGGTCGTTGTCATCGGCATTTAGGCGGAGGGAGCTGTGGCAGGGGGACGCGGGGAGGGCCGCCTGCAGCAAGTAAGGGGGGGGCGCATGCAGGGGAACTGCTCCCCGCCCCAGCTCACCTCTGCTCCGCCTCCTTCCCATAGCACGCCGCCCCGCTCTGCTTCTCTCCCTCCCAGGCTTGCGGCGCCAAACAGCTGATTGGCGTCACAAGTCTGGGAGGCAGGAGAAGTGGAACGGTGACGGCGTGCGTCGGGGAGGAGGCGGAGCAGGAGGTGAGCGTGGGGCGGGGAGCAGTTCCCCTGCATGCCGCCCCCCCCTTACTTGCTGCGGGCGGCCCTCCCCGCGGCCCCCCGGCACCGCTCCCTCCCGC